AACTACAGTTAATATATTAGGTCGTCGCAAAAGAAATGCAGGATTTTGTTTTATTGTATTTAATACTTATTTTATTCCAATAAAATGTTATTTTAATATGAAGTGTTATATATTATTCGAAAGCTTATCTAATGCTCTTTCCAAATGATACTTCAAGATTGATTGTAATTCTTTTTTATTATCATTTTTATTTTATTGACGTTTTATTGCAGATGTCAAAACGTGAATTTCGCACTATTTTTTCTATGAGTTCAAGCTAGGCCGAAACGCTGCCGAGACAGCTCGAAACATTAACGAAGTTTGGGGTCGAGAAAATGTCAACGAACAATTGTACGGTTCCAGCCGTTGGTTTCCAGGAAGTTTACGTTCTGGCCAAATCACGCTGTCCCTGAAGAATGAACATCAATGTTTGGTTTGAGTCTGCCGCCGGTCTCATCCATCCACAGCTTCCTGAATCCTGATGAAACAATTACGGCAGAGAAGTGCTGTCAACAAATCGACGAAATGCATCAGAAGCTTCGACGCATGTTCCCAAGGTCGGTTCAATATGAAGGGACCTATTCTTCTCCACGACAATGCCCGACCACACGTCGCACAATCGACCCTCCAGAAGTTAAACGAATTGGGCTATGAAACTCTGCCTCATCCACCATACTCACCAGACCTGTCGCCCACCGATTACCACTTTTTCAAGCATCTGGACAACTATCTTAAAGAGAAATGCTTCAAAACCAAACCAAGGACCGATGCCAAACAACGACCTTTCGAACGATTTCCGTGGCCTCTTAAAAAAGGAATTACAAACCATCTTGATCTGGTATCGTTCAGGAAAGAGCATAAGCATAGCGCCTTTCGAATACTATATAAACACTTACCAATTTAATTGCGAAATTAAAATAAGTATTACATACAACAAAATCCTGCATTCTTTGCAACGACCTAATACATGTTTGCTCAACTGCGTTCCAGTATGAACATAGTGGTGTCTGTGTTAGTGTTCTGCCAAAGTAGTGCAACAGCATACCAAGAGATTGGCTGATGTGGACGAGTTGCCCTGGTCAGAATAGTGTTGCGGAGACCTGATAGGGATGGAAATAATCCGGTCGCAGCGCACCATCCGACATCTACCCCTTGATGGCTTATTTCCACCGCAGTCAGCATCAGTCAGGCTACCTGGAATGCTGCCAGAAGGTGCAACTAACTGTGGTAATGAAGAAAGGACTACGATTTATGAGTCTCCGAAATATACAGTCCTCACTAGTCCCCTCAACGGAAGCGCACCTTTCAACTTTGCCCGTTCTTCTTTCGTGAATCTAGGAAGCAGCTCAAAGCCAATGTTTTCCTCTATTACGTGCATATCCTTCTTCATAGATTCTGGATAATCGCCAGTGTTTCCGAAAATCGGTGCCACTGTCCAGTTAAAAGTCCAGTCGAGAGCACGACGTACAGCATCAATGTCCTTCGGATCCTTGGAGAACGTCTTATACCACCTGCCACCGACAGTGATTCCCAGTTGACCTGTAAAATCACTGTCGGTGAGACTCCTCTTTGTTCAACCAACCCACAATTAGTTGACTCAAATCAAATACCTACCTTGTTGAGTTTCCTTGAACTCTCGTACGTACATTCTGTAGACATTAGCATGTGCAAGCAGCATATTATGAGCTGCTACGTAGGGAATTTTTCTTGTTGGTATCGAATACTCGAACAGTGTCAGGAGAGTGATGCAGTTGTCCCTCGATTTTCGCGACTCCCCACCACGCATGTGCGTATATTTCATTGAACGAAATCCAGTATTTCACCTGAAACATTCCTCTCGTTGCATGCCCATACGAGAGTTCAAATTCTCCCAGAGGCGAGTTGCGCTCTCATCTCCAAGAACAATTCTTACCATGCGCAGGGAGAATCGGCCAGCAGCTGCACTAGCATGCCATTCTGATGTGGATAGGAACGGAGTGCAAGAGAACGGGCCTGTAGAGCAGTAGTACCCGAGTGCCCTGCCCATACTCGGCCTTGCCATTTTCAAGGTGCACCGCTTACGTCGATACCAAGGTCCAGTAGTGAAACATACTCTCAGTAGACAACATCTAGAAGTGAGATAGCGCATAGAAACTGCGCATTTGTCTATGGTTAGGCGTACTACAGTGCGGGCGGAAATTGCAGGGGAACCCGGGTATCAGCCGCCCTCCATCTGGGTTGCCGTGCACTCCTGACCAGAGAAAGTGGACGCTACTGCAGCTGCGGGTCCCATTCTCCCCAGAAACGGCAATTGTGCTTGTTGGAGAAAGGTTTCACGCTTACGCCAAATTTCCACAATTGTGAGAGTCTCGAACTCACTCTTGTCAGCTTCAACTCACACTGAATGAGTTAAAGGCACGGTCCGCGATAAAAAGCCTAGGTGATGTTGCAGAAATGTGGAAGAAAATTCGCCAAGTGAACCGTCTATGAAGAGAAAATGCCAAAGGGAACGTTGGAAACGCATTCGTCAGGCCTCCTCTAGCCTCAAACAACTGTAGAGGTAAAAGACCGAAAAGACCGCGCGCTGGGACGATTCCCGTCGGCTGATTCCCAGTAATGAACCTTATGACTCTACAAGAGACACTGAATGCATCCACTCCATGATACTTGCCCGGGAGCATTACTTTTGGCTGGAAGGCCGACTTTGGAGGCGGAGTCTGGAGGCGGAGTCACTGGAAAAAGGGATGTACCACTGAAGCAACTTTGCGCCTTCCTTTACCGTACAACTTTCCGCCGCGAAACTGGCACAGGGTTGTCCACTCCGGACCGCACTACCTTCCCACATAACCTCTTGCATTTTCATAGGTCATCGCGGACCGCTCCTTTAAGGTACATGTGAGAGAATTCCACGTTAATAAGTGGATTCCCTAAGAGATTTTTTCCCCAAAAATCACGTACATGTCAATGCACTCAGGTATTTGTTTCGCCCTCTCGGGCTTTGGGCATTGTGTTGAGTGAAGCCAAGTTAGCAAGTAAAATTTTTTCCTAAATAAGTTTCTGTGTGCTACACCTTCTATAGAAGACCTTAGCCCTTAGCCCTTACGAGTAATCTTTTTGCAAGAGTGACAGCCAGCTTCCTTCCAAC